TAGAGTTCCCACCGTAGAGTCTCATAGACTAGAGAAAAGGTTTCCCACCGGCACATTCCTGCATACCATTGCGGACTTCTCTGGGTGTTTTCATATGTAAGTAAGAGGTACCCGCCGGCAAATACTGCGTACAATTGCCGACTTCTTCTTGGGTGATTTTTCTTTCTGAGTGCCTTATTGGGTAGACTGGAGATCGACCACAATCGGCAAATTCCTGCATACAATTGCCCACTTCTGGTAGCCCATTTTTGCGTCTTCCCTCTTGGGTGATTTTTCTGTGAGTGTCGACTGCTGTAGACTACATAGAATTCAGTAGAGTTATTCAATGTCGTACGCGGAGAGTTTCTCTTACCTTCGTACAGAGCGTTGCGTGCGGCCTTTCCTACTTTCAATTCAATAACAAAAGTATTCTACGCATGCATACCAACTCCACGCACCAACTCCACAAAACAAACGCCTCCGTCATCTCTTCTCCGCTCGCACACTTGACATCGCATTCAGCCTAAAGCGGAGCGGCGGGGCGCATCAGCGCACCCGCCGCGGAGCCCCTTGTAGTAGTCTAGAATCATTCATGGACACATTCCATTCCCCCCCATACATACATAATTGTCGATGCAACGAAAAATAGCAATTAGTTTCAATTAAAACAATCTACAGCCATAGCAGTGCGGGCTACTACTAGGCTATTGCTGTAAAATGGAACACCGCTGGCATACCACGTAATAATGGCCACTGAACCAAACAGCAGGGTGGCCCTGTTTTTTTCTGCAACAAACCGCACAAACGTAAGAAAATAATTCAAGCCAAACGAAAAAGCCATGCCACACACACACTCAATTCCATCCAACAGGAGCAAAAATACGCACAGGCACTTTGACTTCCTTCCGTAGAATTCACCTGAAAATAAATGCGGCACCAAACGAAACAGAAAAAAAACAGCAACAACACATAAGAAAGCGCCTCCAATACGATGCGTCGGACTCATATCCAAGACACCTCAAACACACACCATGGATGGGCAGAAAAACAGCGAACTCGCGTACTCCCGTACTACTACTCTCCGCGCCCTCTATTGTACTTGAGAAGGGCAGCTAGCTGCGGCAATGCGATCGCTGATGAAGCTCGACTCCTGCCTCTGGTCCATACACGCACGCAGAATAGAAAATACTCGCTCCATGAAGGCAGAGGATGGCTGAATCAGTGATGTGCGGTGTGTCCTGTGTTCCTGTGGTCTTGGTCTTCGGTATTTGGTCTTTGCGTCTTTTCTGTCTTCTCTTCTTGAACAAAAGTCAATCAAGTGGTTTAAGGGTACCCGGACAACCTCCTGCTATGTTGCCTAATTTCGAAAACAAACGCAAGAGCGCCAGAAAATGCACTATTACGGTGGAACATAGTAGTCAAGACCAAATTGGANGTGATGTGCGGTGTGTCCTGTGTTCCTGTGGTCTTGGTCTTCGGTATTTGGTCTTTGCGTCTTTTCTGTCTTCTCTTCTTGAACAAAAGTCAATCAAGTGGTTTAAGGGTACCCGGACAACCTCCTGCTATGTTGCCTAATTTCGAAAACAAACGCAAGAGCGCCAGAAAATGCACTAGAGACAC